CAGATTGCAGAAACATAGATCTCCAAGTGAATCTGTGATTCTGTGAGCAACTCAATCTACCTGCCTGCTTTGCCTGATTTTGGGTAAAAGTTGCTCTTTTTGCTCAATATTTACATAAATGTTTATAATATTTACATACAAACCACGCCCAGCCAGTCACATGACCACTAAGCCATGCCCAGACAGCAAGCCATGCCCACCCAATCACATGACCAGCAATCCACACCCACAAATTAGGCCCCGCCCACAGAACCAGTCGTTAAGAAATTGAATCCCATCCCTGCACATAATCCTTGATGACCATGTTTGACACTCTTGAGCATAATATCTACAGAGGTTCTCATTCATACAGGTCATGGTTGTCCCCAAAGTGCATTTATTTTAAGATAAAAATAAATTAAAATGTACTTTAAAGGTAACTGGACTTCCTGAATTTTCTTTAAGATGTTTTTCCTTCTCTTCCAAGAAGCTTCTTCCTGATTCCCCACCAGTTAGTTAGAACTGAAGAAGTATCTTGGATCAGAAGCAAAACGTCTTAAAGAAAAAAACAGTTGCCTTTAAAAGAGAAGCATTTTGGGGGTGATCTTGAGCATAGAAGGAAATCAAATTAAGAAGGGTATTATTACCCTTGTATATGGTGTAAAACAGGGACCTTCTTTTTTGGGGGGGGCATCATATTTGGAGCATGTTATGGGGACATAAAACTTGTGTTGTATATAGACATTTGCATACTTGTAATACTACATTCCGATTGGACAATCACTACCGCCTAGCGATTGGTGGTTAACAACAGTTTATGATTGGCTGCCCAAACGGTGGGAGGTTTAAAATAATGCCATTGGTTGTGAGCCGCGAGCAGCCGCTATAAAAGAGGCTGCCGCGGCTCGAGTTTAGTTGAAGTTACTGACAGTTAAATAAAGAGCTGAACTCAACTCCGGTCTCGAGTCTACTTTGTTCTGGCGATAGAACAACTTGCTTTGCGGATGTAGCAAAAAATAGTTCCCCAGAAAGGAAATTTTTGAAGCTGATCTCATGACCATTTTGGGATGTTTTGTAATCCTCAGCTTCCTCCAATCTTTTCTGAGAATATGAACAGAATTGCAGACCAAACACTGGTTTTTTTGGTCTTTTGATGCTCATGTTTGTTACAGCAGGGTAGTTGGCAACACCATCTCTGAATTTGCTTTGGAAGCCCGTTGCTGTTTTATATAACTCTTCTTTCTCCTAGGAAAAACAAACACGATCATATAAAATATAGACACATAGATAATTTGAGTTTTTTGTTCCCAGTTTTTTTTTAGCAGAGGGTGTTTTAACATTTATTAACACTGGTGCAATTGTTTTCTAGATGTCTCTGTCTCTGTCTCTCTCTCTCTGTCTCTCTGTCTCTCTCTGTCTGTCTGTCTGTCTGTCTCTCTCTCTCTCTGTCTCTCTCTCTCTCTCTCTCTCTGTCTCTGTCTCTGTCTCTCTCTGTGTTTCTCTGTCTCTCTGTCTCTGTCTGTCTCTGTCTCTCTGTCTCTCTGTCTCTGTCTCTCTCTCTGTGTGTCTCTGTCTCTCTCTCTCTCTCTGTCTCTCTCTTTCTGTCTCTCTCTCTTTCTCTCTGTCTCTGTCTCTCTCTGTCTCTGTCTCTGTCGCTGTCTCTCTCTCTCTGTCTCTCTCTGTCTCTCTCTCTGTCTCTGTCTCTGTCTCTGTCGATGTCTCTGTCTCTCTGTCTCTCTGTCTCTGTCTCTCTCTGTGTTTCTCTGTCTCTCTCTCTCTCTGTCTCTCTCTCTCTCTCTGTCTCTGTCTCTCTGTCTCTCTCTCTTTCTCTCTGTCTCTGTCTCTGTCTCTCTCTGTCTCTCTGTCTCTGTCTCTGTCGCTGTCTCTCTCTCTCTCTCTGTCTCTCTCTCTGTCTCTGTCTCTCTGTCTCTGTCTCTGTCGCTGTCGCTGTCGCTGTCTCTCTGTCTCTCTGTCTCTCTGTCTCTCTGTCTCTCTGTCTCTGTCTCTCTCTCTGTCTCTCTCTCTGTCTCT